CACGTATCATACAGGTATTTTATGTATGTTAGTTAAGAACTCGATACTTAAATACCTCCCCTAAATTCCTATGTTAAGCTCTTATCCTGAATGTGATACTATCTAAAAATGAGGTCTTTTAAACTTAATCAGGGTTAAATGAGATCCTGAGGGTAGTTTGGTCCATGGTCTGATGTGGATTAGTGACCTTATAAGAAACAACAGAGAGCTACCTCCCCTGTCTCCTTACCACATGAGGACACAGCAAAAAGGTAGCCAGGAGGAGACCCCCCCTTCACCATGCTGAACACCTGAATTTTGTATTTAAGAGCCTCCATCAAATCTGTGAGAAAATGTCTATTAGCTAAGCCACTCAAGTCTGTATTTCACTATGGCAGCCCCAGGTGACTAAAAGAAAACATTTTAGAAAAAGCATATTAATACAGTAGGCCTTATTTTTAACCATTATTAAACCAATAGCATTTAAAAATACTATGCCTATGGGTTGGATGTGTTGCTCAGCAAATGAGCATAAGATCCTGAGTTCAACACCCAGGATCATAAACAAACAAACAGCTGGGTGTATAGCTCAATGTCAGAGCACTGGCCCAGGGTGCTTGAGGCCCTGGCTTCAAATGATAGCAAAATAAAAACAATAATTATAAAAATAAAATACTATGCCCTAACACTACTGGAATATTAATCAAATTGGTACAACCTTACAACGTTAGGGGCTATAGAGATTAGTATGTTTTCATAATCAACTGGGTAGAGAATCAAAGGCAACTCTCCACAACTACTTTCACTTTCAACTAAAGTGAAATAGCAAAATATCTTCACTGGGAGCTGTAGATGTAGCTTAGTGGTAAAGCATTTGTATTACGTGTGTGAGGCCCCAAGTTTGATCCCCAGCACTGCAAAAACAAAACAACTTCATTTGGGCTACCAAGTACTCTAAAACACACATCTTACTGTATACAACTTTTATTACTCCATTAGTGACATTTCTCTGTAACTACTATACCCCAAAAATGTATACACTCCTTGAAAAATCTTTTTTTCTTTTTTGTTGTTGTTGTTGTCAAGACAAGGTCTCACTACATAGTCTAGGCTGGGCCCAAACTCACTATGTAGCTCAGGCTGGCCTCAAAACTCATGGTGATCCTGTCAGGCTCCCAAGTCCTGGGATTACAGGTATGAACTACTGTGCCTAGCTTTATTATTTTTTTGTTTTTTAAGTAAAAATTAAGCTCTTTACATAATATTTAATCATCTAAACAATCTCCAGAAGTAAGTCTTTTACAAATACATATAAAAGTTGAATTAACATATCCAAAGCCATGTACTTTAGGGCTAATTCCTTGTTAAGTGAACTTAACATTAATCAGGGGCCTTCCTGTGAGCCAGGCACTAATGGTGATACAAAAGCATAAAATACGGTCCCTGCCATATTACAGTATAGCTTATACTATAAAGAGCCAAAGATGTCCAGTAAAGGCAAGTTGTGTGGCACTGTCCTGTTTTGCCCTGTTCTTTGGTTATGATACCTCAAGCACTTCACCTCTTGCAGCTGCAATCTCACTGAATTCTGAAGAACATAGCCTTTTCCTGGAGAAACACCGTTCCTCAATGCTTCAGGGCAGGTGTGAATCTGAAAGTAAGTGGACAGTCTAACAAATACTTGATTGATGGTCAGTATCACTGAATGATAGTTTTTCTCATCCTGGTGCCTACCATTCATTTATTCTTGGGATTGGCAAATGGGCTAGACTGACCTGAATGTTCCTGGGCCTTCTGAAATGTCACTTTCTTCTGAATGCTTTCATCCATGAGTCCACCATGGACATAAACTTTGCTTAGATTACCATCTTTAAGAGCATGTTCTGAGTCAGAAGTCAGGTACACAATGATTTCTGGAGGAAATAAACTAAAGCAGCCTTTTGTTATGTCTAGCAGATAACTAGAAAATCCATCATTCATCCTCAAACATCTTAATAGAAAAGACAATTTTGAATCCAATGAGACACATCCAAAGGGATCTGTCAGCTTGTCTGTACCATACAATCTTTGGATCTGCCCAGCCAGACTACTCATTTCCTTCTTTGACATATGATGGGTCATGTTCAAATCGATACACAGTCTTGGTCCTGGGTGTTTGGCCTCCAGAAGTTTCTCTTTGGTCAAGGCTCTCAGAAAATGTTTGCTTTGCTGGGTACAGATGCTTGGATTTTCTGCCAAGTTGGCTTTTCCTCTTTCTTTGCTGCAACTATTTCTTATGTTATCCAGAAAACAAAACTGTTTGAGAACAAGCACCACGATATACTGCCAGTGGAAAAGGTCTCTCTCCCTCTTGGCTCTTGCATTCCACATTGATCTGCAGAAGCAGGAAGCTTTCAGAGAGTCTATCTTCATCTATGTTCTCTACAACACCTTCCTGCCCTTGTAGCGCTGGTGACTCTGTTCTCTGAGCACTTCCTTACAACTTCCAATCTATGTGATCTGTCCTCTACCCTGAACCTGTCACCTCACACAGCAGCCATGCACATTTCCAGCTTTCTCATTTTTTAAAGTAAATGTCTATACTATAACACCCAAGCACTATAGAATAATCATTAAGTATTTTTTGTACTTCACAATTTTAAACAGAAACTGCTCTAAAAACTAAAGTCTATTATTTAATTTTTGTTTGTTTTACGAAACAGGGTCTCACTATGTAGTTCAGGCTGGCCTCGAACTCACGGTGATCCTCCTGTCTCAGCCTCCCAAGTGCTGGGACTATACAGGCCAATTTGAGGTTAGCCTGGGCTACACAGTGAGTTCAAGGCCACCCTCAACTACCACTGAGCTCCTGTCTCACAAACAAACAAACAACCAAACAAACAAAACTACAGTGTTAAATCTAATGCTAAATATGCTGCCCCACACCCCCAGTACTGGGGATTAAACCCAGGGATTTTGCTCTAAACTACATCCCCAGTCCATTTTCTCTACTTTTTTGAGACAGGGTCTGGCCAAGCTGCTAAGTTACCAGGCTTGAGCTTGTGATCCTCCTGCCTCAACCTCCCAAAGTGCTGGGATTATGGGCATGCACCAACTTGCCCAGTTTCTAATGTTAAATCTTGAGGGAAAGAATTAAATAGCCTAAGTACTGGTAAAAAGTTTACCTACTATATATTATTCTCTCTAGGGTTATGACTCCTTTATCTTGCTTTTTTTGTTATGATTATTTCTTCTCTGAGAGGGGTATGGGAATTAAATAACTGAAATGGAAGCAGGTGTGAAAATGCCTCTAAGGTTTAGTTCTCCATATTAAGTCAAAAAGTTGGTCCTCCTCACTTTTTTCTTACTATCTAAAACCTATATATACTACATTGTTTTAAAGGCAAGAACTTTTAATTAATTAAACAGACTGTTATGGGCTCATGTTTGGGTCCTCTAAAATTCTATTTTGAAATTTTAACCCCCAAGGTGACGATATTAAAAGATGAGGCCTTTGGGATATACACTAACAAATCTGTTTAGTGCCCTTATAAAAGAAGCATGACAAGGGCCGGGGATTTAGCTCAGTGGATCCGCCACCTGCCTCACGAGCGCAAGGACCCGAGTTTGATCCCTCATACAAACAAACAAAAAAAGAAGCAGCAGCATGACAGCTGGACTTGGTGATGTATACCTGTAATCCTAGCACTCAGGAGTCTGAGGCAGGAGGACTGCAGGAAGTTCAAGACCAGCCTAAACAACACAGTGAGTTCAAGGCTAGCCTGAACTACATACTGAGACCCTGTCTCAAAAATCCAAACATAGGGCCCTGGGATTTAGCTTAGTGGTTCTGCTGCCTACCTCGCAAGAGAGAGATGCCATGCACCTTTGGCCATGTGATGATGTAGCAGCAAGGAACCATCTCCATGGAACAATTAATTCCTCACCAGATACCAATCTGCTGGCTTCTTACTCTTGGACTTCCCTGCTATCAGTACTGTGAACAATAAATTTCTGCTATTTATAAATTGCTCAGTATAATGTATTTTGTTGCAGCAGCCAAAATGGACTAAGACAGATACCGAAATACTACTTACTGTAAATATTAAATTCAGCTTAAACTTATGAAATTGATCCTCTCCTACAACATGCTAATTTTGTTGTCCAGAATTGAATGTCCACTGTTGTTTATTGATACTATGTTAAATGCTTTAAAAAAATATTCTGGGAGCTTATTTCTGGGAAGGAAACTACATTATCATCCTTTCAACACCAGCTATTTGAAAACAGAAAAGAGAAATGAAAATGTCTTATATATATATAAAAAAAAAGCACACTGTAGAAAATAATAAAGCTGCCCCAATGTACCTATGCACTATTTTAGCACCCTCAAGAATTAGCCCTAAGCAAAATAGGTTCCAACCAGCCAAACTAGAAATGCTTCCTGCAGGTATGTTGACTTGTCCAGTAGAACCTCACCTTGGATTTATTCCAAAAGAGGCTCTCAAATAAATGCTCAGCTGCAACTCCTGAAAGGAGGCCAGTCCAAATGTAGTAGGATAAATCCCTCCCCAAAAGATGACTCCCTGATGACCCTTGTGACCCTGATGTGAAGTCAGAGGTTACGTACACAAATTTATATGACTTTATGTATTAAAATTTAAAAACGCAAAAGTTAACACAAGTACATTATAATCTTAACAATGAGTTCAATGGTTTAAAGCCTCAATCTTTAAATAGAATATACACTGGTTATTATAAAACTACCCTCAATTTTAAACAATTCAACCAGAGACTGCTAACTAAAAATAAGTATTTCTCTATACTTACAGCATACTGAGACATACAGGCTATTTTTACTTTTTTTAGCACGCATGTGTGTGTATGTGTTTGTGTGTGTGGTGCCAGGGATTGAACCCAGGAACTCAGGTCTGCTAGACATGTGCTCTACTACTAAGTTATAACCCAGCCCAACAGGCTATTTTTAAAGTAATGATTTGGGAAATAAATCTGTAGATAAATTTATGATGGACATCTCTTACCTCATAAATGTTGGGGTGCCACATTTTGGTCAAGAATCTGAAGGTAGGTGGTGAATATGGGTAGTCAATAGGAAATTTAATATGTGCCTGGAAAGAAAAAAAATGCTAATAAATGATAATGTAAATTCGTCATCTGCCTAATAATTCACTCTATCACACCCCACAGAAACAAACTCCTTTCTACAGAAGAGACACCCAAGAACAAAGTAACTCATTTAAACTTTGTCATCTCCAGTGCCAGGGTTATTAGCATGCTCTCAAAGCATCCCTTCAAATATTTATGAAAGGTTATGTTAAATCACCAAAATTCACAGCTATTTTAATTTTTAACATTGTCACAGGAGTGAAAGTTATTATTTTATCTTTGTATATGTAGCCTTATAGTACAACATACACAAAGATTTTTTTTTCCAATTTACTCACATAATTTAAACATCATCTCACTTTAAAATAGTAAATGCTAACATTCTGATGTTCCTTTCAGTAGTTTCAGTTCATAATTGCTTATTTGCTTACCAAAAACTGTTTTTTTTTTACAAATTTGAACAGACCATATTCTGCACTGTTTTCACTTCTATCACATCATGAACATTTTCTCTTCATGTCATAATATATTTTCTACAGGTACTTGTATGGCCATTAGTATTAACATATTATCCTACCATATGTATACATAGATGAACTTTAAAAAAAACCAAACAACAAACTACATTCTTACTTTGGGGCAATGTTGTTTCTCATTCTTTTGCTATTATTATTACAGTTGAATGTCCTTGGCAGTACAGTATCTTATTTTAAATAATATCAAAAGTCCTCTCTTTCATAAAAGCAATGAGAAAATTGCCAAAAATTATTAAGGATCAACATTTTCAGAATGCTAGAAGATAACTAAAAGCTTACCGCAATTCAGGATGCATTATTCGAGCAAACAACTGAACCTTAGTAAGAACAATGAGCTTCACAGGTTTAACTTACCCTAGTTAAATCCTGTACTTGCCACCTCTGCCTTAAATCAAACACCTCACATTCAAAGTAAAAACCAGTAACCTGGCAGGCACTAGAGAGGACAGGTGCTCTGGAACTTCCTTTAGCCCTCCTACCCCTAGATAACTGTCATTATTTGACATTTCTAGTGGTTTCAAAAAAAGACCCACTGGGCCAGAGGTTTAGCTCAGTGGCACCAGCGCCTGCCTGGCAAGCACATGGTTCTGAGTTTGATCCCCGGTTCGGGGGGTGGGAGGGAAGACCCACTTGCAAGGCTATTTGATCTGATTTAGAATGTGGCCAATATGGGTGTATTTTTCCTGGTGGGACTTGCTGAAAACAGTAATAGACAATTGTTTGACTTCAAAGCTGCCTGAAAAAAAAAAGCTGCCTGATACAGAGGAAAACAGACAACACATTAGCCCAAAATATTTAAAAGAAGAACTGATGTATGAGATAGTTATTGTAGCTTTGAGAAGCTCTGGCAAAATTCTACAGATCTTGAAGACCACACCAGTGTGCAGGCCTGTGGACATGCCTAGGACTATGTGCTAGAAAAAGAAAGATCTAGAGGGCTGGGGATTTAGCTCAGTGGTTTCGCAGCCTGCTGCGCAAGTGCAAGGACCCGAGTTCGATCCCTGGTACCAAAAAAAAAAAAAGAAAGATCTAGAAAGCTCAAATTTCTGGCTTAACTTTCTGTACAAGCAAAAAATGAAGGCTAAGGCAGAGTTTACAACTGTCTGGCTGAATATTAAGGGCATAATGAACACACACACCACCAACAAAGCCCAGGAAACTCACTGGTTACAGGATATTAAGGAAATCTCTGCCTAATCATTAGCTGACCATTAAGCTAACAAACTGAATAATTCACTAACCACACAGAACAAAGAATGCAGACATTACAAAATTAAAGTCACTAAGCAAGGAAACAAAAATTACAACAGCAACAATAATAACTTGGGGGAGTCTAATTTCTACAACTGCCAGAGTATATTATTTAAATATCCAAAAAAAAAAATATTACAAGCCATAAAAAGAAACAAAGTATAATCCATAAACAGGGAAAAAAGGCAGGCAGTCAGTAGAAAAGTAGAAGCCTATAAGTTTAATTTACTCAACAAAGACTTTGGAGCCAGTCATGGTGGTGCAGGCCTGTAATTCCAACAGAGGCTGAGGTAGGAGCATGGACACAAGTTCGAGGCCAGCTTGGGCTACATAGTGAGACCCTGTCTCAAAAACAAAACAAAACAAAACAACTTTTAAATTGGCCATTTAAGGCACTTAAAAAGACTACAGGGAAGCGTAAGTGTCTGATATTGTTTCAATGGAAGGGAAGGGAAGAGGGAGGAGAAAGAGCACAAAATGATATGAATCAGTAGCTTTGGAATCTGGCACGAGCACTTTTTGCTAGCCTTCTGACCTTAGTTAGGCAAATCATTTACATCTCTAGACCTCAATTTTCTTTTTGTATAGACTGGTGAAGAACACTGACTAGAGAGTTCTGATGAGAATCATACAAATTTTAAAAGAATCTAAAAGTGCATTCCAGGATATGTAATCTAAAATTATCAAATCAAAGATTAAGTTATTTTAACTGTATTTAGGACCATTACTAAAGTATTTTCCAAAAGAAGGGGGAAAAAAGCTTCATAAATTAGAATACTTCCTTCTCACCCATTTCCAATCCTTGTAATATCAGCAAGTAATGTGAATAGATTACAAACTTATCAGAACAAAAATGTAAAGAAACACTGACTAGATATTAAGGAATTCTTTCAGCTTATGACAACAGTATTCCAAAAAAGATTTTAAAGCATGCCTATAGTTCCAGCATTGGGGACACAGAAGGAGGATCACAAGTTTGAGGCCAGCCTATGCTACCATAGGGAGACCCATTCTAAAAAAAAACAACAACTAAATAAAAAAAAAGTGCTATTTAGAAATACATTCTGCAGTATTCACAAATGAAGCTGAGCATGGTGGCACACACCTGTAATCTTAGTACTCAGGAGGCTGAGGCAAGAAGACTGCCTGCGTTCAAGGCCAGCCTGAATAGCAAGACTGTGTCTCAAAAAAAAAAAAAAAATCACAAATGAAATGATAAAGATTAGTTAAAACATAATGTAAGGATCTATAGGGTATAGATAAAAAAACAAGATTTGCTGGGCTGGGGATGTAGCTTACTAGTACAGCGACTGCCTGGCAAGCGCAAAGCCCTGAGTTCAATTCCTAGTACAAAAAAGCCCCAAGATTTGCCATTGAGTTAATTATGGAAGCTATATGGCAGGTACATAGGAGTTTATTATATTCCTATTTGTACTTTCATAGTAAAGAGAATTTTAAACACGTAAAGGTGAAAAAAAAAGAAATGACAATATAAAAGTATGTTTTAAAAGTTTTAGAGTGTTCTACATAATCTTATTAATGCAAAAGTACCTCTACTAACCAAGTGAACTTGATGGAACTTGGCAAAGTGATTAAAAAGTTCATGTGAAAGTGTAAATACAGACAGTTATGGTGATGCATGCCTGTAATCCCAGCACTCTGAGAGGCCAAGACAGGAGGATCACATATTTAAGGGTAGGCTGGGCATGGTGGTGCACAACTTGTAGTCCCAGCACTCCAGAGGCTGAGGCAAGATGATCTCCAGGAGTGTGAGGCTAGCCTGGGCTATATAGTGAGTTCAAGGCCAGGATGGACTACACAGTGAGACCTTGTCTCAAAAATCAAAAACAAAACAAAAAATAAACAAACAGCAACAACAAAACAAGTTTAAGGGCAGACAGGGCAACTTAATTTTTTAAAAATTTTTATTTTTTTATTGGTACATGTTAGCCATACATAATGATCATATTCATCATAGGGAATTTCTCCCTGTACATAATACATCTTAACTCTTTTTGTCCTTTCCCTTGCCCTCCCTTCAACCTTTCTTCCCCTCCCCATTTACAAAAGCTTTGTTTCCATTTGGGCAACTTTACTAAAAGATGCCGTCTCATAATAAAAAGGGGTGAGGTTGTAGCTCAGTAATAGGGTGCCTCTAGGTTCAATCTTCAGTACTGCCAAAAGCAACAAAACAAAAATATATATGTAATAATTTTTTTTTTTTGTTAGAGTGTCAGCAAG